CGCGCGTATATATATATATATATATATATATATATATATATATATATAAATATGAAAGTAGAGAAATTTGTAACATTAATTTGAAAAAGAAAAGTCAAAGATAAAGAAGTTAAAAAAAAAGAGAAAAAAAATGTTTAAAGAAGAGAGAAAAATTAATTTGGGTCACCAACACTTTTCATGTGACACCATATCAATAAAACATATGATCAGTTATTTCTTGGACAGAGTTAACTGAAAAGTAATAATTAGATGTTAGATTTTTTAAAAGTGGTTCTACTTTTAAAAAGTAGCGATTTCACTTTTGAGGGTAATTTGGATACAAGAAATTAATGAACTTACCCAACCACCCTTAACTTTTCAGAGAAATTACAAAAAATACCTCAAAATTATTTCAAAATTGTTACTCGTTTCGTTTCATGCCAAAATAGTGTCTTGTTAAATATATTTTCTGTATCAATTAATGCAAGTGTCTTATATTTCTTCGAGTTTTGAACTCTGCGCCACTACTGATGTTGTACCTTATATTTCTACAAGTGTCTACTTAAAATATAATGAGATATACTATTATATGTCATCAACCAAGTTAGTTGGTCAAATTTTTGTCCCAAACAAAAAATTAATGCAAGAACAAAGAAAACTTCATAAATTGTAACGGACAACAATTAAGTAAGGAAGACTACAAGTAGTTCCTCTACATGAAAATTGCAAGAAACATAAACTTGTGGGCTTAATAGCTTAATCCCACACTACTATTTTCCTATCGAAACATGAAAGGAGGTTTTACAAATAAATCAATCCTAAAAACCCCTTTAGGACAAAGATTTAGTAAAACTCAACGGAGTCTCTGCGCTTGTTGTCTTCATCTTCATCTTCATCATCAAATGATTCATTGAAACTCAAAATCATTTTTACCTTTAAAGTATAAAATTGCAAAACTTATGTTGAAAGATAAAATTCTCCAGAGTTCATATCCACTGATTTCCTAATACAATCTCATAATCTGAAGACAATGGGACAAGATATAGCTTCACAGTAAATAAGTTGTCTTGCACCGAGAATTGAAAATTTTTGCATACTCTTGAAGTCACCATTCTTTCAAAACCCAAGATAACATTTCTAGTCTTTATTGGGTATGACTCAAAACCTAGCTTATCTGCTAGGGTTTCATTAATGAAATTGTGAGTAGTCCCCCCTAGGGTGAATAAAACCTTCAAAGGTTGCTTCTCGTGATATCCAATCAAGCAACAATCACCATCGTTTTCTGCTGTAGGGTGAAATGTAATCCACATATCGTCATCATCATCATCTTCTTCTTCTTTTTCTTCCTTTTCTTCATCATCATCTTTCGCCTTAAGAAAATGAACATCGCTAAATTAAATTATAAACAAAGTCAAAATTCAAAAACTAATCTTCGGAGAAAATTAAATTACCTGAAGATTTGATGATTCTGATTCTTTAGAATCGGCTTTTGAAGAAAATAAACATTTTGATTTTCCTTTAACCATCTTGATGAGGAGGAACAAGAGTGAGTGAGTAATGAGGGTTTTCCATGCCTATTTATAGAGCTATCACACCAAATCTTTTCTTACCCTTTGAATATTACCGGAATGCCCCTGCGAATGGAGTTAAAATAGTAGTCAGATGCATGTATTTAATCATTACATTTTTTATTTTTAGTTTATTTTGTTAGCTAATAAAAGATAAAAAGGGAAAATTCTTTAAATTAGATTAGGACAAAGATATTTATGAGGGATGTAAAATATATATTATGAAAATAAAATATATTATTAATATGGAGGTAAAATTTTTGGAAGATAAAAGTATTTCTTATCAATATTGGTGAGTCTTTTTCCTAATTCATTATTTAATTATTATTAATTAAAAAATTGTTAAATTAATTTAATCAAAATTTATAAGTTTTAAATATGACAAGTGTATAACATCTAAGATGTATGTATTTCATGGAATAGAGTAAAGATGCAATAAAGAGGAGCCAATTTTTTGTATGGACTTGAAGAAAATTAGAAAACAAAATTTTAAAATCTACTCGAAATTTCATCTTCATTTTTTCCTTAAAAATGGATCTATTAATTTAAATCATTCTATATCAATATCTTTGACCCCTATAGAATTGTGGATTAGATGTAAGTTTTATCCGAAATAAGGTAATTACTAGTTTAAATATCAAAAGAAAAAATCAAAAAATTGATAAATTAATGAATTATGTTTCCAGAAGTAACTTTGTTTTAAAATAACTAGATAAAGAAATAACAAAGAGTAATTAGAAAAAAAATCCAGCAACATCATCTAACTGATAAATCAAAATTGATGTTTCATTACATTCAAGTAGTGGGAGAAACAGTTAATTTACAGAAAGTTGTACGAAGAACACCGCATAAAATCGTTAACATTTCAATATTAAGTAATTATAAAATATTAGGACTCAGTAACATGATAGTGTGATCATAATAGTGATAATACTTCATTGGAGTGAGAATGTCATAGCCAAAATAGTTCTGGTGTACACTCTTGAGAGAGATTTAAGAGGAAATTCTTGGAAATTTTGTACACTAATCAATCAATTACAACAAAGGGAAAATGCACAAGTACCACAACCTATGGTCGCAACCCTAGAGACACACTTATATTGTACTAAGGTTCTATTATCCTCTGAACTTATTTTATAAGTAATTTTCTATCTCTTTTCGGCCTACGTGATACTTGTTTGAAAAAAAAAGTCAATCAGCGTTGGACCCACAAGATAGTGTCACGTAGACAGAAAAGGGATATAAAATTATTAATAAAATAGGTTCAGGGGTAATAGGACATTAGTATAGTATAAGTGTGTCTTTAAGATTTCGGACATAGATTAAGGAGGTACTTGTGCATTATCCCTACAACAAACAATACTAGGCGAAGTTGCATATTTAGCAACTTCTTCTGGGAAAAAGAGTTTATTAGCCAACACTTATTGTGTTATTTTACTGATGCTTATTGTGTTCATGTTTTAATTTGATCTAAAGAATAAGAACAGAGTTTATTGGAATAAGTATGATGAGATCTCATAAAATTATACATTGATTTCGTTTTTCTCTTTCGCTTTTCCAATGATGAAGGTTGTAGTAAAGATAATTTTGCATTTCTTTTATCTCTCTTATTTCTCATTATTTTATATTTATATGAATATTCAATTTTTGAAAGTTTATTAAAAAGAAATTATCAATATAGTAACTTATAACTTTTGTATAACTTTGTTAGAAACCTACTAACTATTAACTTAATGTTTTCCTCTTCCATCTGTACTAGATTTAATAAAACTATATTTGATATTTTACCGTTACTTATAATGCATAAAACATGAACAAATTCACTAATAAATATTTCTACTTTCAAATCCTCCGGCTAGATAGTGGCTTAATTAGTCGATAAACTCCATTTAATCGAACTCGTATATGACCTTCACAAGTTCAATATGAATCGCCTTTCAAGTGCTTCCATGTCTCATTAGAGGCAATACCAATTAATGAAAGAACTCAGAAAAACTCAAGACTTCATAAATTGTAGTAGACGACAATCTACTGAGGATGATTATAAGTAAATCCTCTGCATAAATAGAAAATTGGTGAAAATAAAAATTATATATAGCTTAAATCCACACACTATTATATCATCTTATAGATATAAAACGGGATGTTTGAGGAAGAGATCAACCCTAAAATCCTCAAAAACATATAGAATAACTCAATGGACTTCCAACGCTTGTTGCCTTCATCTTCATTGAAATGCACATAGTGTTTCTTACCTCTGAAGTAGAACACCACACCGTTATGTTCAACGGTAAAATTCTCAAGGGTCCACATGATCCCTAATACAATCTCACAATTTAAGGACAATGGAAGTAGATACAAAATTTCACATTAAACAAAACTGTAGGAAATATGGAAAGAAAATAATATCTTTAAAATATGCTCAAGTTTATTATAGGTTACTTGAGGCCACTTGAGATGAATACAATCATTAACTACATCACTATTTATACTACTCAAAATAGAAAAATAAAAAGTCTTGCACAAATAACTAAGTACATCTATCACAATTTACTAGATACATGTACTACGAAATTCTAAAGAGACTTCATGAAAAACTAAGAGACAATTTCGGAAGACTAAACATTAGAGCATTAGTTCCTAACACTCCCCTTAATGCATTCGCTTGATAACTCCAATGCGTTCTCAAAGATAGCAAAATTTTTCTCTAGGAAGTGCTTTGGTGAAGATGTCAGCAAGTTGTTCTCCTGTTTGACAATAATGCAACTGAGTTTCGCCTTTCTCTTGTGCTTCTCGGATAAAATGATACTTGATGAAAATATGCTTTGATCTTTCATGACTAAATTGATTCTTGACAATTGCAATTGCTGATTTGTTATCACAATATAGAACAGTTCCTTTTTTTTTGTTTCACACTAATGTCTTCAAATATTCTCCTAAGTCAAATAGCTTGAAAAGTAGCTTTGGATGCTGAAACATATTCTGCTTCGGCAGTGGATTTAGCAACAACACTTTGCTTTTTTGATAACCAAGAACAAATACTTGATCCAAATAAGAAAACATAACCAGAAGTACTCTTCATGTCATCTATACTTCCAGCCCAATAATCACTATCAGAATAACCATTTAAGTTCAAATCTCCACCAAATTTGTACATTATCCCATAATCCATTGTTCCTTGCAAGTAGCGTAGACATGCTTTGCAGCTCCAAAATGCACTTGGCTTGGTTCTTGCATGAATCTGGGTAATAAACTAGCAGCAAATATAATATCTGGCCTTGTTGAAGTAAGATACAGCAAACTTCCAATCAAACTCCTATAAAGTGAGATATTAACTTTCTTTTCTCCATCATCTTTTCTAAACTTCTCATTTGCTACTAATGGTATGACCATAGACCTGCAATCCATCATTTTATATGGAACCACAGTAGCAGAAAAGAAAGGCTTTGGTGCAAGAGCAGAAAGGCTGCAGAGGTGTCAAATCTTCATTGTATCAAACTGATACAAATAGATATCAGCTGCAACTCTCATAAGCAAGATGTTGTTCTTGAAAGCTAGAGTCCCTATCCAAGGATACGCGGAATTATAGTCTCTTGCCAATTTTTCAGCTATCTTGAACAGATACTTGTCGTTTTCTTTTTCCAGCAATTCCAAAGAGATGGTAAAAGTAAGATCCCATTGAGAAGTAAAATGATCCTTCAGCACCCACAGTTGAAGTCCGTGTTCGGATATCAATACGTAATGTAGCTTCCCTTCAGCTTCTCCCATGCACATCTCGGGTGTTAGATTGAACTGGGTGGTGGGGAGTGGTACCATTATCAACCAAGATATCTCATTTTCTGGATCAAACATAAGGATTTCGTCTCCATCAGTAAGCCAATACAGAATCCCAGTTACACAGAT